CCCCCCCCCTGATTTGCCTGGCCAGGTACGAAGAAGCTACCAACGAGCTCATTAACGAGGAGCTGGGCATCGCATACCCAATCATCGACGGCATCCCGAACATGATCCCAGAGGCTGCCAGGACGACTCAGAAGAAGCCCCCAGCTGAGGGCTTGAAGCAGCCCTGAGGACGCACCAGCCACAGCGGTAAACTGGGGCCGATGGCCGGAGGCGGCATGCTCCCCTCCCTGCCCACACTGACTGTACTCGTTCCCCTCCTGTCCCTGGCAGGCTTGTTTTACTCAGCCAGCGTAGATGAAGCCTTCCCACAGGGCTGCACCAGCACAAACAGCTTATGTTTCTACAGTCTCCTCCTTCCTGTTACAATACCGGTTTATGTATTCTTCCACCTGTGGACCTGGATGGGGATTAAGCTTTTTAGGCATAACTAGTGCGATCCATGTGCTAACCCCTGGGCTTCTCTAAAGCAACACAGTTTATTTAATCTCATCAGGTATTGCAGTTGATTCGAGAGAGTTCCTTTCTGGCACTGGTGACTGTCGTCTTTTTTCTAGTGGTATCTAGAACAGTATAAAGTCCTCTGCAGCAGCCTATTACTTAGTTACTGCTAAGGCAGATAAAGAGGAGGAATAACAAGAAGCACTAATTCCTTGTAATGTGTTCTTTCAAGAGTGTTGTGCGTTTGTAGTGGCACTAATGAAAATCTTCTAGGTGGTGATCATTTTTACGAGGAAGAACTGTACCCTGACTGAAATAACTGATCTTAAATAATAAGCAATGACAACATGCAGCAATATTAATCTCTCTTTGAATTACGAGCTTTGGGTTTGTTTTGAACTGATGTGTTTATTGAGATGTATTTGTCTCACTGTCAGAAGAACATAAATTAGGCTGATGTTTAATAACAAAACGAGTTAAATGAAGAAATTTACTTGGATGATACCCATGTCTGTACATCCAGTAGCTGCTTGCTTGCCTTTTTTTTTATTTTTCTAAGAAAAAGATGGGGAAGCGACAGCGCTGCAGAAAAGATGTAATTGTGCATTTGGGGGTTTTGTGAGAGTGGCCTGCAACATATTCCAGTGTCTGCTTAGGAGATGTATGTCCCTGTACTATTTGTTAAATGTGTCTGAGTGCCCAAGTTTGATAGCCAGGCTGGGTCACCTTCGTTCAAGAGGCATCTCCTGACAGGTTAGAGGCAAAATAACTCCAGCTGAGCCCAGGATTTGGTAGCCAAGTCGGCAGCTACAAATGCTGTATAAGTATGCAGAGTATCTTTCCCCTTAGTACTATCCTCCTCAGTAGAGAGGGAACAGAAGATGGTTCTGCTAAATACTTCAACCTTCCCTGTTTTACAGCAACACTAGAGAATGGAGTGACAGACCACTATGAGGGTGTCGTGCAAGGTTCTCAGTACTGTCTGACAAAATGTCTTAACAGGACACAGCTATGAAGGGGACAGGTCAATGCTATGATAATCTATTACAAGGGTTTCTCTTTTATGCTTTGTTACTGGGTGGTTTACATCTGCAACACAGACACATGAATGTCCTTTACCTGCTGAAAAATTCAGAAACGCAGCACCAAGTTGTAAATACTGCAGACCTCAGTGTCTCTTGGTGGGATACTAATAATGCAGTCAAATTGGTCAGGCTGCTGCTGGGCAAATAATGCTGCGATGCACGAGTATGAAAGGCAGTGCCCACAAGATGTGTATTCGAAGGCTGACTAGCTAAGTGCAGCTGTTTGTCAGGGCTCCTTGTACAATCAGTGGAGAGAGACTGGATCTAGAGGACAGTACAGAGCACAAGCCTTATTGCCTCTGTAAATAAATGCCTCTTTCAGCTGATGTACTGAGGAAGGGGGAAGGAAAGGTAGCCCTAGGAGCCACTGTGAATCTTCTCCTAAGTGTACAGGAAGGAAAAGCTTTGAGAGCTCTGGTTGGCAAGAAGGCTCACTTAGAAAGAACCAGAACTGGGTAATAGGGCACTGAGGTTGATAGTTCCTGCTGCACAGGTGTGATGCCGGACTCTGACAGCCCTTGTGTCAGTGACTGATACGGCACATGGTCCCGGAGCTGAGCTCCCTGTTCCCACGTCAGCCATCTAACGGCTTTTGCAGGACAGGGCTAGCACTGCGGGTTGGCAAGAAGGCTCACTTAGAAAGAACCAGAACTGGGTAATAGGGCACTGAGGTTGATAGTTCCTGCTGCACAGGTGTGATGCCGGACTCTGACAGCCCTTGTGTCAGTGACTGATACGGCACATGGTCCCGGAGCTGAGCTCCCTGTTCCCACGTCAGCCATCTAACGGCTTTTGCAGGACAGGGCTAGCACTGCGATACCTGAAAAAAATATGGCTGCCAACATCTTGGGG